TTTATAATATAGTATAGATATATATATATATATATGGGCTTGTTGGAATATGAATATAGACATTAACAACGGACGCACAAGAAACTCTGTAGTAATCTACAGATAGTAGAAAATATATGATTTGTACTGAAAACTCTAATTATTTCATTATTTTAAAGATGTGTAATGTAGTAGCAGCGACAAATAGCAAAATCATATGAATCTTAGGGGTCGTAAAGTTTTTAAGGGATTTGAATTTTATGGAAGGATTTGAAATCTTTGGTGTATTTGGTTTGTAGATTTTAGAACGAAATTGAATTCCATTTTTTTATATAATTATTAAAAATAAATTATAAATAATTATAAATAATTATAAAAATAATAAAATCACCTTTTATTAATTTATTATTACAAAACCATTGCTTTTAACATGTTTTAAAACATTACGACAAACGCATCTATGAAATCATGTAAAACGCCAATTACCCCAATGAGATTTTTCTAAAATTCAATGTTTGTGAGATTTCTTTGAAATCCCAAGACTTAAATTCCAACCTGCCTACGAGTCAATCTTTTAACGAGCTACTCGAGCTTAATAATTATCGAGTTCGGGTCAATCTCAAACACAAAATAAAGTTCGGTTAACTTAACGAGTCGAGCTCCAGAACACCAATGTTCCACTCGACTCATTTTTAAAGCTCGATTAAACTTTACGAGTCGAGTCATTCGAGCGTACACTTTTTTGAGCCAAACATATTTATATGTTTACAAATTATACAATCAAAATATAAAAATCATCGAGCTTGAGTAAATAAACAAGTTAATCGATCTCGAATTCGAGCTCATAAACGAGCATCGAGCTTAAACATTGAAAATATATTCGAGCTTGAGCTCGAGTTCAAATCCGACTTTGAAAAAATTAATCGAGCTCGAATAATCTACTACTCGACTTGACTCATTTATACCGCAATGTGATATCGTAGCTATTAAGACAACGTCTTTCTCCATCCAAACCTTAACAATCAATCCCCAAATCTCATAGTTTTTTTTATTAACCTGAATATCCAACCCGCTAGTTAGAAATAAAAGCATTTGAATTGTGATGTACCCCCTAAATATGGACAATATTTGATATACTTTTAATATTTAATTTTAATCATTTTAAATAAGTGTTATAATTAATTAATTTCAGTATAATAATGAAAAAAACAGATGTAAAATAAAAGTATGTAAAAATAGTGGATAATAGGGGTGCTTTTTGTCTGGTTTTAACGACGTGGTAAAAGAGGAAAACCCCCGACTAAAAACGCTCGTTCGAACCTGTTATTGCTTTCTGCATTAACATACTCTTTATACATATCATTAAGTCAGCTCTATGCTTAACGAGTTCATGACTTCAGTGCAAATCACTTGTCAAGACATTAGCATATGACATCAAATTAAAGCAAATGTTCGACATGAACACATGAGATTCTCTGAATGTAAACTCACCATGAAATACTGAACTTTATTATGCACATGATTTGCACCACCCTGTTTAATTAAACTCACAAATCAGTATTTCTCATATACCAGAAAATGTTCGGTATAGTTTTGATTAAACTTTATGACATGCTTTTTTTTTTCTCTGTTTCAACATTACTTTATTGAAATTCTATATATATGTAATCTCTTGCATTTTCTTGGTCACTAATTTCGTTATTGTTGTATCAACGTGACTTGTACATTTTTAGGACATCAAAACGACATTAGTTTATATATAAACACAACATACATATATATATTCTTAGACTAACGAAAAGATTAGACTGTTCCACAACTAGTGATGGCCAAAAACCGTTCCCGGGCCAGGCCGGTGCCAAGATTTCTCATAACTGGCCATAGCCGATCCCGGCGTAACCGGTTCCGGTCCCGCTCAAAAAAGTTGAGCCCGATCAAGCTTTATTGTAACCGGTTATGGGCCGCCGGTCTCGGTCATTAAAATTTTTATTTTTATTTTTTTAATGATATATATTTTTAATACATTATAAATTTTGTAATTGGGTCACTCAAATACATTTTAAAATAATTAAAATTACATTATCTTACAAAATATAGCGAGAAACCGATAATTGTGAACGTTTTTTTTTTGCGGTTTTTGCGAATCGAGAGCTTGGTATGTAAATCCCTCAACCAAGACACTTATATATAGTGTTTAGAAAGCAAAAAATACAAAACAAACGGCTACATTTAAAAAAATTAGTTACATTTTTTAAAAATCGGGTCAGGCCGGTCCTTCGACAGTTACGGGCCAAGCCAGGCCCATTTGGCCATCTCTAATATGACCATATCCCATTTTATCTTAATTCATACCCTTTCTTACATAAATATCTAACATTAAGGTTTTTTTATTGATAGAAATTAGACATGGGAATGAGACCCGTCTTATTAGAAAACCCGACGTATCTGTCCCATTAGGGTTGGGGATTCTCTATAAAACCGGGAATCGGGTTATAAACAGGGGACGGAGACGGGTCCAGGTAACGTGATCTCCGCTTGTCCTTCCTGTATATTAAATATACTGTATATTTATTATTAAAAATATTATATGTTCATTATTTAATATATTATTTATAAAAAAACTAGATTTAGAAATAGTATTTAACACGTTTGATTTGAAATATCTCACATAAACGGGGAAAAAATCACCATTAGAGATCCCCGTTGGAGACACGGATAAAAATGTGATCATATTCCCGAATGGGGACGAAGACGGGGATGGGGACAGAGATCGGTGAGTTCTCCAAATCGGGAGAAATTCACACACACATATTCTCGCTCTTTCTCTCATGTTTTCTCCATTTTGGAGATAATTTTCGAGAATCTGTTAGAGTAAAATTTTGTCCGAAATCTTCATTTTCTGTATTCTGAAGAATCTTTTGAAGATACTTCTAGGAGATGGTAGGTTAGAGTATCTCTAAGGGGTTGTTTACCAAAATGCTTACCCAACAAGTGCTTACTGATACGAGTCAACACTAAAATTTATTTTGATGCGTAAGATTTTAGTACATCAAAATGCATCAAATGCAACAATTTACCGGGTAAGCGCTTACTTGGGTAAGAGTCATCATCTTCACTTATCGGGTAAGACTCTTTATCCTTCTCACTGCTCTTACTCGGTAAGATTCTTGTCCCTTGTCATATTCATCCGATGTGGAAATTTATTCGATAAACACTTACAAAGTAAGTGTTTAGTAAACGACCCTTAAATGGATAATTAAAATTCAAAATTTAAAAAAATTATTTTCATCTCCAACTTGTTTATTGAAGATTACCATATTAATTATATTATTAAAATATCAATACAATTAATAAAATATTATTTCTCTCTTCCGAATATTTAATTTCAACAGTATTAGATAGAATTAAAAATTATAATATTTGGTAATTTTGGTAAAAATATCGAAACAATCAGAATTCATAGATGAAATAATATTACCCTGCATTTAACCCCCCCCCCCCCCTTTTATCAGTTTGTAAAACCATAACTGTTGATTAAAAAAGGGATAACTCAGATTTGTAAATTTTGTACTGTATATAACATATAATAATATACATATATTATAAATATGAAAGAAGTTCAAACAATAATGCTATCCAAATAAGAAAATAAGAGGATAGAATCTCAGCCAATCAATTATTTGAATCATATCTTAAATAAAACTTTTTAAAAAATCGTCCTAAAAACATATGCGTCATTTGTTGCATATTTATTATATATGGATACATTATTTCTATAAGAGTGATTTAATGCTTATAATTAAGATATTAATTTATAATGTTTATGATTTAAGTATGATTAATTTTTTATTTTATTTTTTGTGACATTTTGAAATAAGTGTGAATTAGTTTTTCGTTTAAAATATTTATATCGATGTAATTTATTTAATTTTTTTTTTACAATTTTAATTAAAAATTACTAGAAGGATACTCGTGAGATACATATCAATTTTAATGTTCTATTTTATTCTTTGTCTCTGTCGATGTTATAATACGATTTTATGTGTTTTTAATAAAACAATAATGATTTTATTTTT